GTAATCAAACACCGCCGACCAATGGCAATCACGCCGCCCCGACACAATGGTGGTTTGCCTGCCGCTGGCTTAGTCTTATCACAACATACTCAGAGCGAGAGTGGGTGTGAGATGAATGAGTGGGGAGAGGAGGACAGTGATGAAGGGGGAAGAGATGGATGGGGGAAGTGAGGAGGAAAGAAAAGCTGCTGAGAAGGGAGCAGTTGGTATAAATTAAATCAGGGGATTGGTGTGTTTCCTTCACATTACAACTCCATCTGTTTCAAGGTGTGTTTTGTGTACTCGATATTAAGTAAACTGATTTTAGGCTGGGATGCAGACCAAAAAAAAATCTGAGATATCTTGCAATTAAATATGTGAATTCATCCAAAGAACAAGCAGTTGCACACTTATGGTCGTAAAGCAAAGATTTCTCTGTTTTAAGGAGGATGATTTAGCTGTAAAGTGGAAACCTGCAAAATATGCAAATACATATACAGATCATTACTATGCGTTTGCTGCAAAATCTGCCGGCTGTCACCTGAACCACCTGCCAAGTGATGGCTGTTTCATAGAAACAATGAGCTCACACTGAGGGACTAATTTCCATTCAAATGCGGCGCACAAATAAAATCCATTCACCTTGACTCTGTACTATCAAGTCAATGAGCATGACTTGGATGGCTGTGACACTTCACAAGTCAGTCAGGCATGACGCCGAGGCTGTTTAGATGAGATAGAAATTGATGCAAGCAACACTGTCTGCATTTCAAACAAATGACGCTATTCCTTTTAATGAAGACGGCAAATCTGTCAGAAAGCTTCCTTCCTTCGCTGCTCTCCAGTCACAGACGGAAAATTACCAAACTGTTGATAGATGGTTAACAGGTGCAGGCTAATTATGCTAATCATGGCAACAGCCAAATAAACTGATTGCCATGTTCATTTAAATGACAGCAATGTTCCTTTGGTGGCTAATTAAAATAGGTTGGGAGAAGGGAAACGAGGCGGCTGGGTTCGGATGGAGGGAGGTGTTTAAATAAAAGCCTTCTCTGGGGTCTACTGTAATAAGCTGTATTTCATTGGTTTAATGATGTCATAATGAATTTCTAATGATGGGGGATGGGCTTGGGTGCGAAGAGGAGAAGCGTGGCGATTCGTACATTAAAACCAAGCATCTACTTTCTCCCTCTGCGAACACAGAGCGCAACAAGAGAGCCCTAGCTCGTGCTGTGTGTGGCGTAGGGTATCCCTGGTTGAAATGAGTTAAGTAATGAAAATAAAAATCAGCAGAGGGCATCGAGCAGGGTATGTGCTCCATCTGTTTCGATACTAGCCCCAATGGAAAGAGGTTTTGAAGGGGCAATTACTTTTTTTCAGCGTTAGGCCCCAGTTGGCCTCGGTCTCTATTTGCATGTGACCTGGGAAAGGCATCATTAGAGGGAGAGATGGCAGTCAGAGGCCAGGGGAGATGAACTCTGGGGCCCCTGACAGCCACTGTGGAGGTATGAAAGGTGGATTGGGGCTGATTAATGTTTATGGAGGAGGCTGCTATCAAAACCCTCCATCTTACCCCCTCTCCCCAAAATCCTACCTTTTAATTCTACTCTTCCAGAGGAGATTAAAAATCTACAGTTTGGGCTCTATCTTTGCAAACAGCCAATTTGTTTTCCGAAGGAAGTGCCATCAGGGACGCACAGAGTTCCTCCTTTCCTTTCACTAAGACATCTCCCCTGTTTCTCTCTCCTTTTATTCTCTTGGTTTGTCTTTTTCACCGGAGGCAAAACATTTAAAGAAACAACACAGGTGTTCTACTGCACCTCGTAATGGAGACAAATTGGATTTCACAAATACATCACCTATAACTATTGCATTATTTTATATTTAATTGTTCAAACCATTGTAAGCCGGAAATCCTCTAATGCCACTGAATAGGTCATCCAACCAGAACTCATAAAAAACATGTAAATATTAGAATCAAGATATGTTTTATCAGTTGTTCATAGAAACAAATGCTAGTCTTAACATATCGTCAATGACGGTTTTTACTGTGGGAAGTTGTACGTCTAAAAAAGCACGTCCTCACATCAAAGTACTGAATGCACAAGTGCCTAACCTGTTTCACTTTCAAACAAATTATCTTGCAAGCGTTTCCTTTTCTTCTACTTTTTATAAGATGAAAACAAAGGAGATAAAAGATTTATATAGAAAGCATAGGTGCATGATATGATATATATATGATGGAAGCTATAACTCCTTTTGTTAGCAATCAGATGTGCACACAAAGAAACTTTTGTGCCAAGGTAACAAAAGAGGAAAGAGCACCTCCATTGACAAGCTGCACAACTAGAGAGACCAACTGAATGAATAAAATAGCCCCCTTTAATCTCCCGTCTATGAGGCATTCTCACTATTTAAATGTATGCCACATTAGTAGGGATCTGCTCAATTCAATATATTATAATGTGATGTTTGGCCTTAATGGAAAATCAATGGTGAGACAAGGCCGCCACCGCTGCGACCATACAAAAGCAATTTACAAATTGACATATTGAGGGCCTATGTGATTGATTCTGACTGCTGTTGGATTTTAATACCGTTCACTGCGAGCTCATTGACTCTCAGGCATCGTCGTGTGGTATATCTACAAACTGCCAAATGAGTCCTTGTCTTCTTTTTCTTCTCTCTCTCATCTTTTCTTTCTCCGTCCTTCTTGGGTCCCTCTATGCGAACAGAGTGGATATGCTGAATTAGATCTATTAGATAAATGAGCGGATGACTTTCCGCAATTGCATCCGCTTTGCAATCGATCACAGTGAGATTTAATGCAGTTTATTCAGATCTCACCTCTGCAGAGTAATCCCCATCGCTGGAGTACAAATTCTACATGTTCTTTCCATCAGCTAAAAAGCTACAGTATTAACAATCCCACAGCAGCAGCCCTGACACAGTGGCATCAGCTGCCATCATCTATTTAATGACATCATACTGACCCTGATGCTTGTTGTAACAACCTACTAGCCTGGAAAGAATCTACTCCTATGTAGCCGCACACAAATGCACACTGCAGTCAAAGGGATTAAAATTCGAGAGAAACAATTCATTTTCAGAAGCTGAGGCCAACAGGGTATGCTGGTTATGGATTACCAGCCGACCCTTCCCCCCATCCTCTATCACCCATTTGTTTCCTCCTTTCATGTGGTTTCGCAAAGCCAGGCCTATCTCACGCTTTGCCAGCACTGGAGAAACGTGTGGCTGAACCCAACTTAAGTCGACACTAAGTGAATAAGATGCTCTGGGTTGTCTGTATTTCCTTAAACTAATCACAATTGCCTTGGGCGGCACTAAGTCCAGGATGCAGCATGGTGCCCTTGCAAAATATTGTTGGTAGGTTGGTGTTTAAATTGCCAAATAACTGCAAAAAAAATGTTTTAATGTGTAGGGTGCTAGCGCTCACAGACAGCGCTACAACTAAGTGTGAAAACAGTCTGGCGATGCAATGGGGCTGCAGCATTTCATTGTCAATTAATCGGACGATTATTTTGTCGATTAACTGATTAGTTGTTTGGTCTTAAAAAATGTCAAAAAATGGTAAAAAAATGTCGATCGCTTTTTTCCCCAAAGTCCAAGATGGCATCCTCAAATGTCTTGTTTTGTCTACAAGCCATAGAAATTCAGTTTACTGTCACAGAGGAGCAAAGAAACCAGAAGATATTTACATTAAGAAGCAGGAATCAGAGACTTTTAGTACTTAAAAGATACTCAAACTAATTAAAAGATTATCAAATTAGTTGGAGATTCATCGATCATTGCAGCTTTACTATACCAGACTAGTTTAACGTAGAAACAGAGAGTCTTAAAACAGTAAAATGAAGGAAGCGTGCTACCATTTGAGACAGGCAGCCAATGGAAAGCTTTGTACCCACAGTCAGTACCTTTCATGTTCAGTCACATGAAAAGAAAAGATGTCGTAACTTTGTGCCCTCTTTCCTTGTGTACTGCAGCAGTTTTGTACTACTTCTTTCGTACTTAATTACATATCTGACATGGACACAAACTTCAAGACCTACATTTCCATCCATTCATCCTGTAATCCATGTCTGCATCACAGAGGCAACAGGCTGAGCACCCAGATGTGTTCCTCACAAGGAATCCTGACACATTCCCAGGCCACGTGAGATATGTCACCCCTCCTGAGTTTTCTGGGTCCATGCCACAGCCAACTGGTAGAAACAATGCCCAGACTACCTTCAGAAGAGGGCATCCACAGGGTTTCTTTATCGGATACTAACACACCTTTCAATACGAAAGAGCAGCAGTTCAACTCCAGTCTCCTTAGATTCCGTGTCCCCAACCTCTCCCAGAATGAAGGGGGTAAAAATAGACCTTGTGGGCACTGGCCTTGACATTACCCATTTAATAAATACAAAACTCTACACTTGAATACCCCATAAAAACTCAGCTAATATGATGTGCGAGTGAAGCAGCTACTTTTACTGCTGAGCCAACACACACATCCTCTATGCATTCTAGCAGCAGACTGTTAGAAAGCGGAGTTGTGTTTAGTCACTTAGTGACACGAGATGAGATTGCTGACCCCGAAGTGTTACACCAAATGCTCATCTGAGCTCCACGCTCCATATTGAAGTTAATGTAACTGACAGATTTGACTTTGAACTATCTTTAAACCCAAGCAAAGCACAGGGGCGTGATGTGCTATACTGTAGATGAACCCACGCGTCTGTACTTCTGCACCACACATGCACACAGTATATCAGCCCATCTAAAAATACCATACATCACTTCTCAGCTTTTCATCTGACAACAGAAGGACATCACTCCTGCTGTAAATGATATTATCAGGGACACAAGCAGCGTCATGTCTCTAAGCGCACGCTGAAGTTAGAATGTAGCCTATGGGCAGCACCGTTTTTGGGCTGATCACAGTGTCAGTTCAAGCGCAGAGTGTTTCTGGAGGCTGGGAAGTGAAGCATCCATCACATGTCTAGTGTTTAACTTACCTTGCCGAAGTCCCTGACATCGAAGAGGTCAAAAGGGTCAAACAGCTCACTGTTGCGCAGGCCAAACTTGTCATGGCACACCTTGAGGAATGTCCGGATGTTCTTCAAACACAGGAACTACAGAAGAGAGAAAAACAAACAAAAACATAAATGACAGTGAACAGCGGACATGTTGGCTTCATACTAGTGTTGTAAAAGCATGATTAAATGAACAGAATATTTGCCCTAAGAAACATGTCCACATGTGTTTAATATCCTCCGTTAAAGTAACAGCATGTGTGTAAATATTTAATTTCTTGGTTGCTGATTGGCAGGCTCTCCATCTCATCCTCTCCGGGAGTATGTGTGATTAGTCAGCCCCAGAAGATGAGCAGGCTGATTGCTGCTCCTGAGGCTGATGAGCTGCCCCACAGATCCAGATAAGGAGAGCCACAGGAGGAGCCTGTCTCCTAACATCAGAGCAAAGACGAGGTGTCCTCAGACAAGCCCACCGGCAAGGACCTGCCTCCAAGGCAAAGGTGGCCTATTGGATTGAGACACTGACCTCACGCTGAAGGGTCACAGCTTAGATGTCTGACAAGCAACAGCCACGTGTCCCCAAGAAAATGTCTTTAAGACAAACACTGAAGATCTAGCATTCAGTTATTTGGTTTTGTAGTCAGTGAGATATTCAGGCAAAGGAACATGAGCAGATCACTTCAAGATGTTTAGAGATACAGATAAGGTGATACAGAAGTAAGAGGCTGCCAAGCAGTAATTAAAGTTTCTTAAGTGTCTGTTTTAACCTGTTCTCAGCAAGAGATGAGTAAAGTCCCATACACACCAAACTGACATCAAAGAACTGGTGGTGAATAAGGCCAACTGTTGCATCCCCTCAGCCAAAAAGTAACACTTGAACACAATGCAGACTACAACCAATGGCCAACTAGCACATACAGTCAGGTCCATAATTATTTGGACAATGATACAGTTGTCATCATTTTGGCTCTGTACACCACCACAATGGGTTTTAAATGAAACAATGAATACCTGCTTAAAGTGCAGACTCTCAGCTTTCATTTAAGGCTTTTTTCAAAAATGTAGTATGAACCGTGTAGGAATTACAACCATTTCTTCACACAGTCCCCCAACTTTAAGGGCTCATAAGTATTTGGACAAACTAACATAATCATCA